TCGCAGCTACGATATTTCGTGCTATCGACAGTAGTCGACTTATCGAGGCTAATTAGGTCTCTGAATAATTAAACGTAGAGATTTCCGAGAGGATGGCACGTGCAAACTGATACGTTCTAAGCGTTTACGCTGTCTATGGGAATACGTCTTCGATTAGAATTCCATAAACGTAGAACGTTTAATTGACAAGTTTTAATAGTGTATGCGTTATGGAGAGGAAGATATTCTAGGAATTTAGAAATTTAAATTGTTGTCAGATGTTGTTGCTTGGATTTCAAACAGCGAACGTTTAAACAAAATAGAAATCGCTTTCTGCGCTTCAGATTGATATGTAAATATTTCATTACCATCGAATAATTATTTACCAGTAAGAAACTATGTGCGAGTTTCGTTATTAAAAGAATCCCCGTTTTTGGATTTAGTTTTACCTAATAATAAAAGTAATCTTTTAACAAATCATGCGAGATTTCCATGCACGGTTATGATCGCGTTCATTCTTATAAATCATTCAACAATTGTAAAATATTTACATATCGAAAATGTGAAGCACAGAGAGAAAATGATTTTCATGTTATTTAAACTATTAGTCTTTCGAATCTACACATTGAAATCGTGAAATAACTAATAAGCTTTTGAAACATTTACAGCCGGATATTACAGCAAAGATTTCGATATGTTCCAATTATTCTGATCCCAATAATAATTGGTCCAAAGTGTCGAAAACATTTTAAGGAGTATAAATCCGCGAATGCAAATCTAAGAATTAACGAAGGCGGCGACTAGATTCTATGCATAGTTGAGTGGCACGAAATCCGCTGCTAGAAACGAAATACTAGGCGATTAACCCCAGGCGGCAATTACTAATTATTACGGGTTCCGCTGGCGTAGCCTCGCGATAAGATATCAAAGGGCAGATGCAATTTACGTTTCCCGCGATTTTGCTTCTGTTTTCGTTCGTTCGCCGTGCATTTCATACCGCCTGCAGGGAAACGAAGGGGAACGAAGATTCCCAGCTGCTGTCTGTTGCTTTAATCGAGGTATCACCGCGATTAACGTGTAATTGTGGATCTGAATAAAACGAGGAACGTCGTTGATCCATCTTGAAAGGAATTCTCTAACGTTTAATCATTTTTGTTACATAAATTGCTTCGCGAACGTTTCAAAATCTGATCCTTTTGATAGGTGAACATTTTTTACGATAGCAAACTGGTTCCATTCTAATGTTCTAGAATGTACTTATATTTTATTAACTAAGTCCAGTGTCGGATTTACTACGCGTTCATCTATTCGCGAATTCCTTATGGTAAGCGACTGAACGAACGATTTGCTTCAGCGCAAGTTATTCATAAATAATTCCATAATCCTTAAAGACTCTGGTGTCTGGACAAGCCGCGCGTTGCCGGTTTAGCTGCAGACCCATAAAACCATTAATCCACTGCAATGATTAAATAATTAATTCTAATATATTGCAAGGATGATAATGCCCGTATCTCGATAAATAATAAATCGGTAAATCTCCGAAACAATAAGGTTGGAAGTATTCAAAGAACCAAAGAAAATGATAATACAAATATTAAAGTTTTTCTAAATCACACTATCGCATATTGTACACAACCGCGTCCTAATTATCTGCTCTAATTATTTACTTTCCTAATATTTTAACGAATGATAAATCAACAAATCTGCGGAAGACCACATACAAGTAATCGTAGCTTTTTAAATCACGTCGTCATGTATTCAATATGGATAGCATCGCGTCCCTGCGAGACAAATCCTCAAAATTGAGCTACTTTTCCCGCGTTATAACAAATTATACACGACAACGAATGTTCAACAAATCACAAGAAACAGAATAAAAATGATACAAATATCACGGCTTTTTAAATCATCCTGTCACATATTCGTCGTGTATCATCGACTTCATAAAAGGCAAATTTCCAAAATTTAGCATTCTGTAGAAGGGGAGAATCGCCAGCGGAGCCGGGTACTGGACACACGGAGTATCGAAGAGCGTCGTGGTTCGTCCCGGGCCGCAAAAAGGAAAGAAAACCGGGGATCTGCAGGTGTAACGCCCGCAGCGACCGGGTGATAAAATGCGCGCGGACTCTCGATGCGAGGAGGGCCGGTGAAACCTCTCGCGATGCCCCGGGCTCGATAAAAAATGCAGTGATCACGTTTTGGCAGAGACTTTGGAATCTCCAATCTGCCTGTGTGCCTCTCTGATTCGCACATTGCGTCCACCTCTATCTTTTTCTTCGTTCTATTCTCCGATCGATCGAAAGGCAATCGTTTCTTCAATGGTTTCTCGATGCACGACACAATTGCAGTGCTAAAGAAAGAATTGGACAAGCAGATGCTTCTGTTTTTGTTTTTGTTAAATGGATATCCGAACCACTTGCAGCAGTTTTCTACAGTGATTGGAAAAAGTATTTGCCCAGACCAATATTTTTCAGTGTAGCATTTTTTTTTCTTTATCAGGATCTACCTTTCGGTTTCGTAATATCGAACTTTTGTAGTCGTGTGAAAGTTCCACTAAATGATACAGTTTAACGTAGCTGGCTGTAATTGATTACTATGCAAATACTGTGACTGTTAAACTGGATGTCCAAGTGTAAAGAATTGTTCAAAGTTTATTTGTGGATATATATTTTGATCTTCTATTACTTGTTTAATAAAGAATTCTTTTAATATCAACAATTACCAACTAAATGATCTTTCATTTTTATCTATTCGATGCTTCATAGGCTTCTTCGTTATTTGCTATTTTCATTGCATTTACATTTTTAGAACCTCTGACTGTTAATTTGCCGCCTGGTAATTGCCGCGACGCTTTATGTGAACCAGAAGCGATCCTCGGGCAGGACGACCGTCTACGCTACCCTAGCGCGGACCCATCATAAACAGTGGGCCTATTGTACAGTCAGGGTACTTTAGAACCCCACGGAAAAGACTCATAAATCACGAAACTTCTTCATTTTATGCTACATCTCAGGAAGACCGGACACGCGGGTTTCCCCAAGCGTAAGGTCACCCGCTCTCGAACCTTCATGAAGGCAGCCAGCCCATCCTCAAACATACGTCTTTACCCAATGATTAGTTAGGAACAAACTTGAAACACACCCACCACGAACCTTCCTCTACACAGCAACATCCTTAGGAAACATTCTTGCACCAGTATTCTAAGAGTCAACATATAACAGTATTCAGTCAGTGACCATTATATTTAACAGGACAGCCAGTGAACTAAAGATAGTTGTATTCAGAGTAGTGAGTGGAACCCAGTGAACTAAATGACAGTAGTATTCAGAGTATTGACTGGAATAAATAAGGTGTTCTTTACATTTATTATAATCCTCCACCTCGGACGCTAATAACGTTCAAGGGTCGCGATACCAACCGATCAGTTGTGCCTGACTGTTAGTTGAGTGTCGCAACACTACTAGGAACGTAATACTTGTCGATTCTTCTAAAATTCCTAGCAACTGTCCTTTTCAATTCGACACGTGTTCCGGATGTACATATCGTTTGAATATTTAACAATTTCAAACTTATAAGCTTAATAAAGACATATTAGTTCGTCTCTCAAATTATCAATCCATTAGCAATAAATTACATCATAGTATCTACATTTGCAAGGAAATCAATGTATAATTAAAATTGATTAATATTTGATAATATCTAATTCCATAATTATAAAAGTTTTTGATTAATTTAAATATATAATAATTTCATAAAAAATCCCCAGTTGCTTTCAGCCGCATTTCCAATTAAAGTCTGATCGCGTATGACGACGAAACAGCATATGGATATGACAGCGAAAAGGCAAACGTGCCGAGAGAAAGCAAGGATATGTAGGCGCTATTGTTCTTAATTAAAAGTTTAATTGATAACGAGGGCTGATTTGTTAATTTGAAAATGCGATTATCGGCCGTTGCTAATCGAGATCACGGTGTCATTGAAACTGCACGTAACGCGAAGTGCGTTCAATGCATATTGAAACGAAAATGCGTTTCATTGATGGTTGAGCAATTACGCTCTCGCGTCACTTAACAATTGCCATTGTCTTTAAATATCTCAGTATTTCTCCCTATTTAAATTCCTGTTCGAGCACACTCCTTTTCGTTTCGCGTTTGATTTTCGTCGAAATAAATTAAAATTCCTAACGAGGCATACTTTATTTCTCCCAAAAAAGAACATCGCTTTGGAGCAGATTTTACGTATTTTGATCTGTACTGAAGTTAGGAATTTTTTTATTGAACGTTCCTTTTTTTATTAAGCATTTGAAACCTCCATGGAGACTTATTTATGTTGACGTTAGAATAATTTCGTAATTACAAATGTTTCTTCATATCGGTGTTTTTATATAAGTTATTTGCTGAATTTAGGATAAATAACGATTAATATTGCATTTTCCTCGAATTAAAGAATTTCTATTAACGAATACTGGCCACGAATTTATGGCATTATTAATTTGGTAACAAAATTGGTATAAATGGAAAACACAATGACAGAGCAAGAGATGAAGCACTATACAGAAAGCTGTTATCAATCTACCGAAGAAAGGAAACAGTGAATCATTATACATTGTTTCTTATTTCACCTGCTTTCGTCAATTACAAATGTTCCAGGAAATTATAATCCAAAGCTTTTGGGTTACAATATGCTTGTCAATAATCTAAAAATTCTGAAAAGCATACACACTAAGCTATACCCTCTTTAAAACTAAAATAAATAGAATTCCACTATAATAAACAAAATTCTATTACGATAAATAAAAATGTAAATAACAGAAAAGACAAAAAATAAAACATAAACTTTGCGGCAAAGATCGATGTTTTACGATTTATGTTTAAATCTTTCATTTAACGCGACGATATACTACGAATTGCGATAAAACCGAGTCGAACTCAAGGAAACGACGAGCAATCGATAGAAAAAAATGATCCATTTCTCTGATAGTCCATGTTTCTTCGTTGAACACAGTAAATTTCTCTTCGCAGCTGTCGAGAATTTCGAGTCAATGAGATCGAAGCAGCGGGACGCGAGCTGAAAACGCGCGGCTGCCGTCGTTGAAGGCTACTTAAAACGACCATTGAGCATTCGTCAGGGTGCTCGAATTACCCACAACAGGTGGCTCGCAAGTAAGTGCCTCCGGTGTGTTCGCACTCTCGCCTGATTTCACGTCATTCACCCCTGTTTTCGATTTGAAAACCAATCGTCGATTATATCGACGAAAGCGTCGCGTTTTCTACGTTAAAGTTTCGGCTGATCGCAGAAATTGGGCGATCGCAACGTTACAAATTAATTCGCTTCTGTTTCGTACACGAACAATTTTCATTCGATACTATGACATTTTTAAGACGTTTGTTTCTCCACGAAGTAGATTTTTTCGTTCAATGGTCGATTTGAGAAGTGAAAATTCAACGTTTATAAGCGTCCGCTTAAGGTTTTTGTACTTGATAATTCGTCAATTTTATATTTTTAACTGTTGTCACCTACTTTCCAAACTTCGATACGTATAAAAGAGTCGTACGAATATTCTGATTATTCGTCACGATCACTGACAAGATCTTCTAACGTTCGCGCTACAAATCTTGTCGATATATATTTGATAGGGGGATCTTGTCAGAATTACAACCAGCTGTAGTTTAAAAACATTCTAACCAATAATTTTATAACGTTTGAAAGTCGCTTTAAAAATATCCCCCTTAAAAAAAAAGAAAAAAAAAAGAAAAAAAAAGAAAAAAAAAAGAAAAATTGAAATAAGGGAGGAAAGATCACTTTTTAGCGAGATATAATATTGTACACGCAGCTCCGCCAATACGAGCGCAACATCTGCTACTCCGGGCGGCTTGTGGGAGTGCAGCAAGTGCCTGGACGAGATGCGGCTGATGCAGAGGCTGGCGATCAGCGGACTCCTGTCCGTGATACTGATCGTCCTTCTGACCGGCACGTTCGTCACGCGTCGCGACTTGGCGAACGTCATCGAACGTGGTGTGGCGCCTGAAGAACGAAACGAACAACAAGTAAATCCAGCCTGGGTACACAGCAACGTGGTCCCGGGCCAGGATGAGCCGAAACCCGAAGATAAGGATCGACGACCGGATTTCAAGCATAGACAGGTCGAGCCATCCGCGGTTGGACCCCCGCCGATTTCTGTACCCGGACCCTACGTCATTAGACCGCCTAATCCACCTCTGGATGACGTGACTAATCAGCGCCGCGAGAAGATCAAAGAGGTAAGCGGTTTAACCGTGTTTCTCTCTGTTTCTCTCCCCCTCTCTGTCTCTCCTTTTGACATACTCTGTTTCCGCATCGTATAACAGATAGTAATCTACAGTTTCGCGATGATAATTACTGCTATGCCTTCGAATTGCCTACGTGCTTTGATGCGATGGAGGTTTTATAGATGTCTTTTGGAATTTTTATTTTCGAGAGAAATCGAGAGGTCTGTCGGGAGTAATTTTTATTTCGAGAGTTGCTTACGAATGAGGAGCGCGGCTTTTTTAGGCGTTCAATGAATCCTTGGGTTTAACTAATGACGTAATGCGATCAGGTAAGAAGTATAATATATATTTTTTTTTAAGAAAAATCGAGAGACTTGTATCGAAGTTCGTTGCCTCTGAACGATGCGTGAGATTCTCGAAGGTTTCAGCGTGAGTTTGAGTTCGATCAACGATAGAGCGCTATGGGGTGAAAGGTTTTGTAGCGATCTTTTGCGAAAAGAAATTCAGTGACCTGCCAGGAGTAATTTGATTCCGGGAGTTAGAATAACTAATGGTCTTTTTGTGAATGGGTTTCAGTGTGAGTTTGAGCTTAATTAACGTTTCAAACGAGATCAGTCTTAAACATTTTGATAATTTTCCGAGGATTGTTCGAGTTTACCTAAGCTCTCTTAAGTGTGCTAATATTTATGAACAGCGTATACGCGATCTCAAACTCACCGAAGAGTCATCCACATTAGGCATCAGCTTTTCCAAGTTAGCGAGGTAAGAGATTACAGAATTAAGTTTTCATTGAAATTGCCATCTCCAAGTCGCATTACCATCAGACACATCGCAAGTAGGTAGCGTGGTAAAGCGCCCTACATACCACCAAGTATCGTTAACGAGTGTAAAAGAGGGAGGAGGTAAGTCAGAAGGAGGCGGCAACTTTCTCCTCGTTGAATCTCTGTGTACGAGTAATTGGATAAAGGTGAGTAATCTCGGTCTACGTCTTCTGCTCGTAATACACGTAATTTTTGGAACGATACCAGGACCCGGTATAACTGAAATTATCCGTCATTTCGTGATGCAGTAATTGAAGCCCTGCCTCGGCCTCAAAACGTTCATTTCGGATACTGGCAGTGATTTAACGATTACTTAATTTCCCTGTGGCCCGGGTTTTTACATCGAGCGATGCTTCCGCCTCCATTTAAGGGGAGAAACCAGCAATTCGTCGTTCAAACAGAAAACGTCGTTCTTTACTGTTCGATACAGTATAATTCCGAACACGTGGTTTCGCGATCGGAGTTCCGGTGGAAATAGACGAGATATCGGCCTCTCGAACGTGCTCGTTTAAAACAATTTACTTCCACCGAATGAGCGTTTGCGTTACGATTAAAGAGAATTTTTATCAGCAACGTGCAATTTCTTGATGCGAGTGTTCATTCTCGTTATGTTTCACGGTTCGGTGTGCGGTTAACCAAAATCGAAATAATCGTCGTTCTATTTTGTTTTTATTGTTCGACGATATCGTGAATCTGTACGCAGGTACATAATAAAAGTACAAAATAAAATTCATAAATGTAAACCATATTTCCCCTCAAAATCGATGGTGGATTCGTAAAAGTCGTTTGAACATCAGAATCTAATCGCTTTAAAGTTAGTCCACTCGTTCGTTATATATTCTTGTTCGTTGATTCTTGTTAAATAGTGTTCATTATACCTTGAATATAAAACATTTGACCAAAGATAGGCACGATTTTAATTTCCAATTTAAAAATTTTCTTCTTTCCTCAAGCAGCGACATAAAATTAACGGTTCAAACCGTCTTGTACTTTTGATCGTTCCGCGTCAAGGAGATATTTTATTATGTCGTTATATCATCTTTTTCTGCTATAAACAGTTACCACTGAATATTCTTTACTTTTCTTTTTTTTGTGCAATTCATTCGTAATCGCGGACCAGAGAAAATACCAACAAAAATTTGATAAGGAAACTTTTACTCACTTCGGACCCTTTCGTATCGAGTTGCAAGATTTTCAAGATTTTGAAGATCGAGTTTTAATCTTTGCCCCGAATCCTCATGAATCGGAGCAGATGAAATTTTAATAAAATTTGATAAATTTGAAATAGTAAAATTTGGCGATGCAAATATTTGCACAATACACCTAATAGTATCTGGCTTTGGACTGCGTAAAGATTTATGGATGCATATGATACGAGAAAATATGAAGAATTTTCAGAATTCCCATGAATATCACTAGTAATCCTTACAGTTAATGCTACGTTAAACACCGAATATTCTCTCCTTTTGCATCCTAAACTCGAGTATTCGGTCCCTTCTCACGTTTCTAACACTGGAAACTCAGTCACTAGCTATGAATATTCATATGAAATTATTGATTCATACCTGTTCTCACAGTACGGAATAAACATCGGAATTTAAACATCGTGCACGTTGTAAAGTTATTCCAAAGTTAAATTTATTCAAATAAAATTTTGTTTTTTACTTCGAATTGAATTTGTTTCGTATGCGTCATCGTGAAACTTGTAGTATCTTGATAGTTCTGTAAACTTTTATTTATTTATTTCTTTTTACAAAAATCTACATATATGACACATTATATTTATATTATATTACATTATCTTACGTTCAGGGCAATACTATAACGACGAGCGTAAATATGTCAAATTCAGCTCAAATTAATTTATTCTTATCGCTCGAAATAAAAATTCAGGCATTTCTGTATTTATGTTTTAAAATACGAGAAATATATTTTTGAATCCTATATTATAGAAAAAGAAATAGAAATTATAAAATTCAAGATATCGAAAATTCTCGTCTTTAATTGTTATACATTTATGGAAAGTTTAAAGATGCAGAAACTTATGCACATAACACTAATACAAAAACATGAATAATTGAATAGGTGAAACGAATTTCTACTAAGGTCCGATTTCTTCAATTATGTTCATCAAGACATAAATTTCCATGAATATTTGAATGTCTAAAATTCGAAAGCTCTAAAATGGAAATTCTCGCGACAAAATCAGAAGGAAGGCGCGAACTCTCCGTCTTCAGATCGTTCTTTGCAAACTCGAAATGCATAATCGGTGACTTCTGTGGATCGAAATAGTGCGTAAAATTGGAACGGTCGTGAAATTACGTTTGACTAATTCACTATCTCGGTCGATCTTTCGTGTTATTTTCTCAGCTGTCTCGTTTCGCCCTCGTGTTCTCATTTTCTACGCGGCTAGACTACTCGTATTGGCTAGACACCGCGGGACAAAGGATTCATCGATTTCCCTTTGCGATTCTCTTTAATTTCCGCCCTTTTTGCCGCGTCGTCGCGGGACTTCAAGCGAAACCGCAGCAGCCGACGTAGAAGTCACCGAATTTTTCCATCATGCTTGTTCAAAGTCTGCACGAAATCATCGAAATCTTTTGCCGGATTGAGCTTGGTTCTCTCCTTGATTGAATTTAAAACAAACGCAGAAACGGAAGGATACTTTTACGTAGCTTCTTGGACTGATAGTTCGGCTCGGTAAGAAGAAATTCATCTTGAGATAAAAAGTGAAATAATCAGAAATCATATTGGTCGTCTCTATAAATTGAGTGGCAGAAAAATGTAAAAATGTCGTTTTTCAAGATTTATTTTGCGATTTTTTTATATAAATTTGTCGCAATAATCGAGCTTAGTAAATCAAGGAAGCAAGTGACTTTGAAAAAAATTCAACGTTATAGTCGCGTATTTATTATAAATAATACTAATCACATATGTGTTAGATTTAATGAAATTCGTTAGTGATTTTATAACTTGTAGCAATCAAGCAAGTACGTCATACTTTTAAATAGAATTTCTTTAACAAATTTACTGCTGTACGAATTTTTTCGTCCAAGGATAGCCAGCTAATTTTAACACGTTTATTGGTACAAAAACATCGTGAAGTAAAAGATCAAATTTGGAAACGCAGATTTAGTTGACGAAGATTGGCATCGTAAAGTAGGAGATATTTAATAAATGGACGTACAGAATTTCGTAGAATATCCTCGAAAAATGAGGTACTTATTCATACGTATTCATTTTTGTCGCATTCGATTTTCTAGATCGATTTCTCAATGTATTTATAATAGTTAATTCGATCGTATTATAAATTACGACTCATAACGTGCTGTCATTTGTAGCTATGAACATTACAAAGAATAAAGTTCAATTTATCCATAATTCTCAAATCAAAATACGTCTTATCGAAAGTAATTCAATTATTCAAACAATTTAAAACTATACCAAGAAGAAATGTAAAAATATTGTAGTATCGTGGACGAAGGATCTGGGGGTGTCATACGGATTGTAAACAAGCGGTTGCTGAGCTGTGAATTATAAACAAGCGGTTGCTGAGCATGTGCGTAGTGAGGCTAAGACAAAAGACAAGGGCACAATAAACGAATTAACAACAGTATGAGTTGAAAAGTCAGAGAGTGCAGATTGCGTTGTGGAGATAGTGTTGTTAGCGTTGTTAAGAGAGAGTTGAATTTACGTTGACGAGGATTGTTAATTAATTATCTAGTTGTTTTAATTATTATACGTTTGTTGCAATTAGTTCATGTAAAATAACCATTGTTTTCTGTTTAATTAACAACTGTTTAATCCATTTATCGTTGATAAACTAATTATAATAGTTTACAATACTAGAATATTGAATAAGAAAAAAATCGGCAAAACTACGTAACGAGTTTCAAGGTGAAGGTGCAACAGAATACGAGAGAGGATGTCAAAATTGATCAGATTAGAGAAGTCGGATGTATAACGACTTGCCGTGTGTAATTAATTTAGCAAAGAGCAGTAAACTGGATATCCGCGATAATTCCGTTCGTGGAGCAAGATCCGTGCGATAATGAGTCAATCACATCAAGGCCGTTTGGAACATTGCCGGAGCGATTATCCCTTTGAAAGCTCGTCCGTCTTTCTACTTCCCACCCCTTGCCCTCTTTTACCCCATAGTTGTCCCTATCTGTCTTGTTCCCTTGTCTGTAT